TACGCAACATCACACAACATTGTGATAGGACTGATGGTTCCCAAAAGAATGACGAAGGACACCTACTTGTCCACTTTGCCCTCAGTTGTGGAGCGGACCACGTACACCTCCTGCCGCACCCTCTCTAGCTCCGCTTCTCGTTCTCCGACTGCATCAACGGTGAAGAGAAAAAGCTCGTTAATATCGTTACAAGGTGCAAACGTTTGTCCGACAAAGAACGGCAACAAGGGGGGGAGAAAAAAGTCCGGCACCTTGAAGCTCGCAGTTTAGCCGGGGCGAGGGGTGAATATCACACAGATACTGGTACCCAGCAACCAGACCAGTACCTGATGTAATACTCAGTCCCAGCCCCAACGCGATCGCCGTGGCCGATGTCTTCGACGCAGACCTATGAACTGCCTTCCGTTGCGATCCCGACTTTGAATGGAGACGAATATCGCTGTTCTTTGCAACGTCGAGTGAAGACCGACATCTTGTCCATGCTGACACGATGCCAATCTCGCATTCTTCCTCGTGCCCATTCAGATCCGTTCTCCCGTGCAAGGCCGACGAACATCCGGCGTCGCTTTCCTTGGCGCTAACAAGGCAAAGCATAACTGACACTTCGGTGGGACGTCGCCCTGTCCACGCGGCCGTCCTTGGCATTTCCTGCCAGTTCAAAAAACTCCTAGCGGTGCCCAGTGTTACGGTGCAACCCTACATCGGCGCAATGTCGGCTCGTCGTGCCGACTCCGACGTTCCAAACTAGTGGCGTGCCGCTGAGCATGCGAGGGGGAGGCCGATCCCGGCGACTCGCGGGTGGTGGTGCAGAGGAAAGGAGAAGGTGCTGCGTCATGCATGGGGGTGCTCCCCGAGACCCCATCTCATCTGGTACCCTGGACGTCGCTCAGCCCCCCAGAGATACCAAATGAGATTAGGCCTCCGGAAGGCGCCAGTGCAGGGGGTCCCGTCCCCTCTCCGTCACCGCGTTAGCTCCGCCCTCCGCAAGACATGTGCGGCGGAGACTCCTCCTTCTCGTGCAACGAGGGTTACCGTTCTGTGCGAAAGGGGTGCGTGGGAAGGATGCCAAGAGGTGAGACGTGCTGGTGAGAGAAAGATTGGACGTGCTGCCTCACCCTGCTGCTTGAGGGCAACTATCGTCTCTTCCTTGCGGTCCAACTGCTGGCTGAGCCGCGTTGCGGCCTCCAGGGCGTCTCGGCTGCTCTCCAGTTGTTCCTGCAAGAGGCAGGTCCACAGTTTCGGTTTGTGACGCACAACGTCGACTCTTTCATCGGGGGGACGTTGGAGTGACTGACGACAGGAATACGATGGGACGTGCACAGAAAGCTAGAATAATACTCTTCAAAAAAAGACACTTCTCAGCCTTATCAGCTGGTTAAAGGCTGGTTCAAACATGTATATTAGTGCTGAGAAAAACCAAGTCAGCACTGCACCAAAGCTGTAGCCAGTGCCGACTCAACACCTAGTTGGCACCGCATCGCGACTGTCTGCGGGAAAAGGTGGGGTCACGCGCAGTGAAGCACTCCTACGGCACAAAGTTAGCGCCATGTCGGCACAGAGTTTGCGCTGCAATGTTTGGGGAAGCGGGCCTTAAATGTAAATTCGTCCATTGACTCGTTGGAAGCTTCGGGTATCGCTCAAGGAGATGAGGAGCAGCAGCTCTGTCCTAAAGGCCGGGTGGTAATGCAGTTCTTAATTCAGAAGGTTTGTGAGTAAAAATAGAACTCAACACCAGAGTGTCAAAATTAATAAAGCGAGCAAACATTAGGATGAAGCAACTTGCCTGCTTCTGAGACACCAGTTCGACGAGCTGCTGAGACTTTTCTCGTTCCATTGTCAGCTGAGACTCGTACGACGACCGAAGCAGCTGGATTTCTCTGTCCTTTTCTAGAAAAAAAACGAAATAGAAAGGGTTCAGCGGATTAAAGAAATAAAAGCACATCTTTGTTTGGCAGGCATTTTTTTTTTTTTTGTAGAAGCAGAGAATGGTGACCAGGGTGCCAAAAACTTTATGACGGATTAATTCAGTGCCTCCTGGACCTCGCGAGCTGGTCTTGTAACTCGCAAAAGAACACAACCAGAGTCATTTCGACTTTCTTGCGCTGGGAAAGCCATAATCTCGTTTTACTTGAGAGTTGTTCAATTTACTATGGCTACATTTCTTCAGTAAACTTTGAATATGCGCCTAAATATAGGAAGTGAGCAAACCAAGTTTTATTGCAAGAAAAAATTTCTCGCTGTCAATCAAATGACACAATTCGAAAACATTAGTTGATTTGGTAAGAGCCACGATATGCGTACATTTGAAAGAGAACGCTTAGTCGAATCGCCCTTCTCAGACAGGCAGTTACGTGGCCTATTACGGCAGTTTTCACGTGGACCTTTGCCACAGCAGTGGCTAGTTGAGATGTCCAACTTCAAAGTGTTTAGCATGTGACTTGTGAAGGGTGCCACTGCAGTGGCTAGTTGAGATCTCCAACTTCAAAGTGTTTAACATGTGACTCTGAAGGGTGTTATCGCCACAATATACATTGCCCTCCAACTCCTCCGAGAGTTTATATCATCATTTATTAGCAATTAAGGATACTATAGCATTTATTATATGTAGCTTTTAGTGAAATATTGTTTTTAGTTTAGTGCCATAGTCCTTTCTCATGTTTTGATGTTCATCAGCTTGCTTTCGCATATTCCACTGTTCGTGAGTAGACGTTTCTCTGGCTGGAACTTTATGGGTACAGTCCCGGGAAATGCCTACCTCCGTACAATACCAACAATGCAAGCCGCGACAATGCTGGCGGAAATACAAAGAAAGGAAAAGTACATTACGAGCACAGTCTAAGCATCTCACCCGTCTGGAAGTGGTCAAGCACCTGCTGAAGGTTGCCGAGCGATGCCTTGGTCTGGTGCAGCTCCTCCTCCAGCGCCCGATGGTTCGACCGAGCTTCCGCCAGCTGTTGCGCAAGGCTGCCGACCTGCTGACTCGCCTGCTCCCTGCGAGCGCAGGTACGTTCGATTGGCGTCTTCGTCGGCCGTCCAACGGACCTCCGAGAACAGCGAGAAAGTTGGCTGTTTCCCTCCCACAAGATGCAGGTTGAACTCTCCCGGATGCATGCTCCGAGCTTGGACTGGCCTCTCCACTTTGATATGGGTGTCGGATATGAAGTTTCGGGCATTGGACTGAAAGCTGCTTCACACATGACAAAAGAATGCAGCACTCCAACACAACTCGATAGACGGAACCACTGTACCCACTTGTTCTCTTGTCCTAAGCAGTCACGAGCGAGGACAACAGTCACACTCAAATACAAATATATGAATAAAAAAAAAAAAACAAGACAACCTTGGTTGCAGAGACTCTTCGAGAGCAAGCAAACATAGACTCGGCTCAAACAACAAGCGGAACTTACGTGGCGTTGTGGGCGACCGATTCGGATACCCGAGCCCAGTCTTCGAGCTTTAGCAGGCGAGCTCGCAGGCTCTGCTCGCGAGCCTCTGCTTGGAGGGCCTCTTCTGTGTAGCCTTCTTCCATCTGCAATAGGTCAGCAAAAGGTTGAGAAAACATCCTCCTCTTTAATATGTTATTCTGACCTAAACACTTTGAAGAAAAAAAAAAAATTTATTCGGGCAAACGGAGGGAAAAGAAATATTTGTTGCCCACCTGAAGTAGATGGGTTCGTAGGCGTTCAAGCTCCCTTTGCAGCTTGCTTTCCTTCTGACGAAGGTCGAGAACCTGAGGTCGAGACAAGAAACCTGTTTTAAACGTCCAAACCAACAATTTGCCAAAAGTGAAGGCATAGTGAAAATTTGAGCGTATTGTATGGTGCTGCATTATAAACCACATTACGTGCAAACATGCCCACAACTCACTTTAATATAGGCATTCCTTAGAGCAACGTGTCCTTTTCCATAAGTCACAAAGGAAAAGGCTGTACAACGATTCCCGTAATACTGATCTAAGCCATGACATATAATCTTCAGCCCGTCAGATGGGCATACTAAGGGCTTTCAGAACGAGCACCTTTAATGAATCAGTGAATGCGCTTGTGATTTAGGACCTGTCGGTATGCGCCGATTTAACGATTCTTCGAAAAAGTTTTCTCTGAAGGCATTTCACGTGCCTGTCTGAATCTGAACACAGAGACATTTTATTTTTCTTGTCTCAGCGTCCAGATTAGGATTAGGAACCTAACCAGCTTGCCTGCATACTTTCGCTTCTTGACATACAATAGCTGCGTTCGATTTATCTGGATTGGTGTGAAAAAGTGCAAGGCGGCGTACTTCTGGTCGTATCTAAATACCCTGTACCGGAAGTATACTGCCCTACACTTTTCTGCATTGGTGCAAATAGAACGCAGCTATTCTGTTCTGTTACGAGAGAGGTTGGCAGGTCGCAAACATACCTGCGCTTGCATGTTCTCAGCCTCTCGTTTCCAATCCACCGTCTCCGACGACTCCTCAGACGTGCCGACGTTCGAATGCTCCAGTTGCCGGCCTTTCGAGTCTCCGCCCCCGGCAGCCGCCACGTCGCTGCAAGCTTCCAGTTCGCCGGCGAGACGGTCTCGCTGCTCCCGCAACTCCCTCAGCTGGTTCTCCGCCTCGCTCAGCCGCCCCTTCAGCGCAAGCGCCTCCTCCCTCCCAGCTGCGAGCGCACCCCTCTTCTCCTCTAGCTGCTGAAGCTGAGAGTCCCTCTCCAGCCGGAGTGCCCCCAGCTCCAGCGCCAGCTTGTCCGCTTCCGCCCGAGCGTCCGCCACCTCCCTCTCCCGCAGCTCAAGTGCAGATTTCAGCGCCGCCCTCTCTTGCTCTGCGGCCGTGAGCTGCCGCGAGAGCGCCTCGCGCTCCTCGAGCAGTTCTTTGAGCTGCTCCCCGTCCACAGGCGAACACTGGCGCAGCAGTTGGAGCAGCGTCCCATTCTTCTGCTTCTGCGCTTCCACCTCCAGCTCTCGGTCGCGCACCAGACGCGACAGGTTTCGCAGCGCTTCCCGCGCCAGCTCGGCGTCCTGCCCCGACGCGTCGGCGCGTGCCGCCGATGCCATCTTTTCCTCATTCTCTCGGCGAAGCTGGGCGAGGGCTTGGCGCTCATGCGCCACGACGCCGAGGAGCCGGTGAACCTCGGCCTTGAGGGAACTGCTCTCGCGGGACTTCTCGTTCATCACGGACAGGATGCGGTCCTTATCGGCCTGCAGGACACGCAACCGCTCCTCCAGCGCGTCATTTGGCTCCTGTGCCGCTTGGCCGTCTGCCTCCTGGCGCTCGCCAGGTACCGCCCGCTCCAGCATTGTCTCAAGCCGGCTGCACTTTTCACGCGCTTCCTCCAGGTCGGCCCGTAGTGACTCTTCTTCTCTGGATGACTTGTCTTCGGCCGCTGTTTCTTCGGAGACTTCCTCGCCGATGCTCTCGGGATCTGTCTGACAAAACTGGCTAGTGGTTTCTAAGCTCACCGTCTGCAAGGCACTCGCCCGTTCCTCTTCTGTCTGTTGGTCCTCGTCTTTCGCATCCAACCTCCTGTCCGTCGAGCATGCACTGTCTGATGTGCTCGGAGTATCCGTCTGCGACGCTTGGCACGTGGAAGCCGTAACTTTCATGAACTGCCGGCTTTCGTCCTCTTTGCCACCGCCGCCATTCTCTGTCTGCTGCCCTTCGTCCCGGAGTTCGGGGCTGGTCGGTCCTTGTAACTCCGTCTGCGAAGCCTGGCTCACGACGGGTACACGTTGGTCCCGTTTGTGTAGAACCTTCAGCGCTTCAGCCTGTTCCCGATTCTCGGCCTCCAGTTGGGCCTTCACCGCAAGAAGCTGTGTCAAGACTTCCTGGAAAGGGAAAGCTCGTCTCAAAGGCCAGCTTTGACACGTCCCTCTAAACATGCCATCAATCTGGATTCAGAAAAAAAAAATTTTTCGGTAAAGTTAAAAAAAAAAAAAAATGCAAAAGTTTTTTTGATTTGTCTGACATTCAAGCTCGACCCTTGACAAGCACCGCTAGAATGCACGTCATGCACTTTGTGTCCTGCTCTTGCCAACAGCGCTACATAACAATGCACAATACCAAAATGCACAGATGTCTGTTTGTTGCAGGTTAAGAACTGCAGGAGAAGATCCTCCCACAATGCCCTTCACTCTTTCCACCTTAGCAGAGCGAACGCTAGAGAGAAGCTAGATGGAGAGGAAGAAACCACCAAACACGGTGAGCAGAGAGCTTTGTGGGGGGGGGGGGGGGGGGGGGGGCTTGTTGCGCTTTTCTCAACCTGCAACAGCCTATATACTGTGTATTCTATTTCAAACATCGAAGAGGAGAGAGTACTAATGAAAGGACAGCTGAAGCTAGATCTCACACACAACACTTTAAACACCCCATTTCTTTCTTTAAAAGTAAGAGACTGTCCACTTTGACACACCTGATTCTGCTGATCGAGCTCCACCAGGCTTGCCTCCAGTTGAAGCTTCTCCTGCTGCAACTCTTCGACGTAACTGGTCTCTGTGAGGAAGACAAACGTAATGTTTCACAATGTCCCAGCAGCATTAATTTGAAACTATATTCAGAGACAGGTTAAGGGTACAGAGGAAGCTCCTCCCACCTCTTTCCACTCCAGCGGAGCGAATGCTGGAAAGGAGGCGACTTCCTTCCAGCATTTGCTCTGCTAAAGTAGAATGAGGTGGATGGAGCTTCCCCTGAAGTCTTAGCTTGTCGCTGACTATAGGAAAGTACTACCGGCCACTCCCTCAAATGTGTTTACGAGAGCGGAAGTGCAACAACTATTAAATGTATACTTTCCTTACTCCTGTACATATATAGAAAAGGGTACATATCCGCGTAGCAAGATGCGGTGCTGAATCATAGCCAAGCAGAAGGAGGACAGTTCGAACAAACTTGCTTGCACAGTCACGCCTCGCTTGTCCAGATCTTAGTAAACTGTATTTCAACAAAACGAGAGGGTTGCACGAACGACAAACAGCCAAACTAGACATTATTTAGAGCGTCATTCAGTCAACCAAAATATGTATTATCCTCGCAGCTTGAACAGGAGACAATCGCGAATGGATAAACAAAACAACGTCAGCTGCTAACCATGTTTTACAGCTGGAATTGCCGCAAGAGCTTGCTGAGGCCAGGCGGCGTAGCCGAACAACTTTACTTGCAACAAAAACAAACCTAATGTTTTCACGACCTACGAGAAATCTTTAATTTCTTTACGCATTTGTGCGCCAAACACACGTGTTGTGGTGCTACGGTTTGGTCGCAAACCCTGGGACAGGGGCACAGAACCCTCAACCGCCATGGTTGCAACCAAAGCTCCCAAGTCGGACGGCGCTACACATTTGTCCCGTAGCTAGAACATTGAAGTAAGATGCCATATTTTCTGACGTATAACCCGCATCAAAACAAATTCAAAGTAGAGGGTGCGGGTTATACGCAGGTTATACGCAAATTTCGGTGCGGGTTATACGCAAATTTCGGCTTCACGGCAATGCGCGCGAAGTCGTAGGGGTAGCTTTCCCAGAATCCCTCTACAGCTTCAAGAAGTGCTGTATCAACAATAGCCTGGACAGCATGGACGATGACACTGTCTGGGACAGCGAAGATGCCTCCGATGAAGGTGCCTCCGATCATGGGTGCACTGACAGCAGCGACCAGTAAATGTTCCAAATAAAGGCACTGTCTCTATCGAGACCTGGACATTGCGTTGCATAATTAATTGTGCGGGCAATATACGGCATATTTTTTTGCTTTTCTTGAGAGTACTAAGCTGGGGGTGAGGGTTACCTTCCCCCCATGCAGGGGCAGTAATACGCGCGAAAATACGGTAACTTTGTTCCGAACTTGAGGAGGCTTGATGAAAAGTGAAGTGAAGTAACTTTGTCCTGAAGTGACACAGGCTAGTTGAACACTGAAGTAACATAACTTTATCCTGGAGATGGGCAGGCTTGATGATTGGTGAATAAACGATATCCTAGAAGTTAGCGTTCGACATGTTTCCCTGTAGTAATCTTGGTAAAATTTACGAGTAAGCAAGCAAAGGAGCAAAGGTTCGAGTCCTTACCGGGATCATCCTCGGTCTGCGAGGTTGCGTCCCGTGTTCTCCGCCTTGCACGTGGTCTTGCCTGTTCCGTCACTTGAGGTTCTTGTAAATGAACCGTCTGCTCGACACATGGCACCTCCCCATTCGTTTCGGTGCCTGCACATCAAGGTTTTACCATGAGGCCATGGGTCGCAGTATTCACGTTTGCCGAAATCCTTGGGACGTTAGACAGGGGAGGGGGATAAAGACATACGCTACAATGTCCTTTTAACGAGACTTTTTCAAAGACTTGCCAATAATGTGCAGTGCAAAATGTTTTTTTTTTTTAATGTTTTGCATAACATACCAAAAACATAAGAAACAGTGATGCAGTAAGTAAATACTAAAACACTTTTGATCAATTAAGTATACGTGTTTCCTACTGTTGTATTTCGTCCTTCGTGGTGTGGTTTAGTTTTTATCGACAAAAATCTATTGCGAGTCAGAATTTGAACAGATAGAAGGTTACCGTACAATCCCGTAAGGCCGCCCACCCAAACTGAAGAGACAAGTGGTCAAAAACGGGAAATGTGCTATCTATAGAATGGAGACAGCGAAATTATAAAAAATTAGTGATGAACACAGGGGCACCCCCTACAAGCCACGTGACACGAGAACCGATGCCGCAGATCGCAGACATGAAAAAAATATGCGTTTCACAACGCGATAAACACGCGGGAATTTGCTATAGTCTGCTGCGTCCCGGGAAAGGATACCGCAGACTGCGGATGCAGTAGATTCGTGTTTCACAAAGCAATAAACACGCGGAAACTGGCTACACACTTGCGTGTCACGGGAATCAATATCGCGCGGGTAGATTGCGAACAAAAATGCAGGAACTTGCAATGAACTCACTTGTCACACATATTGGTACCACAGATTGCGCGGTCAAATTCAATTCCTGTTGGGCATCGCACGATCGGGAATCGGAGGGGTGGGCTATATTCCGTCATTTTTATGTTACGGATATTTAGCCAGAAAAACGGGATGGCCAATCTCTCGGGGGAGGGCACCTTTAGGGGACTGTGTGGTACATGTTTATGCTTTTCCCACAAGCTGCATGCATGCTAAACAAGCTCAACTCCTCTCAAACCTGCATGCTCATCCCTTGTCAGCATACAAAACTGCACAACAATTATAAATCTGCTCATCTAGGAAGTTGCTTTACTTCTAACTCGCACCAGGGCTCTTCAATCTGTAAATGTGCCAAATATGTGTTTGCCCACCTTTAACTGTCTGCAGCTTAAATGAGGGTAGAGGGGTGATAAAGAGAAGTTAGCTCTTACACCATGCCAGCTTGGCAAACCGTAAACTCGAAAGCAAGTGAAGTAAGTGCAAAGCTTTATGCTGGTATTTTGCTGCAACATAAGAGAACACACCTGCAACTGTGGAGTGCTGCTGGAGCCGTGCCTGCGCCAGTTGCTTGGCATGATGACTCTGCAGTTCGGCCACCTCCACCTGTTGGCGGTAGTTGGCCTCCGCAAGCGCACTTTCCAGCTCCTGCGAGAAGACAACAAAACTCTGTCTGGTCTTGCCGAAAAAATCCCACGTTCTGAGAATCCTTGCCAGCGAGCACGTCCCTTGGACTGACCCATGCCAGCGAACTGTAGTGCAACCAATCGTCCATTCGCTCATCGTCTGCCATGATGAAAACCAATGAGAGTCTTATAGACTGACCTAGGTGAACTCTTAAGCTTGCCGAATCCTGCGAAACACCATTGGCAAGCTGAGAGCGAACAGCTTACTGCCGCGTTATCATAAAACACAGTTGAAGGACGTCCATACTGTCCCAATGTCTGCCGTTTTTACTTCCGAATTCCGGGTCACCAACATGCCAATGCTCAGTGGATCTTTGGGGATTCCCTCAACTGTCCCACTACCCTTACAAACTTAATGGCTGAAGGATGACCTTAAGGCCTTGGCCCACTAAAGTGACAAATGCGGATCTGCTTGCCTGCCGACAAAATAAGATCACATGTTTGTCAACCTGAGCAACCAACTATACTCGGTTTCATCTTTGTGACGAACTGCGGAGAACGGACGCTATGAGCCATCGAAGCCATTAAAATTCTACGCGAGAGTCACGTGACCTTTGAGAGGGGCGCAGCAACGAATGTTGGGCGTACTCCCGTGATACGTTTGCGGCACTGGATTGGCTGGCGTGGCTCGTAGCATTCGCTGCGGTCCATCACAACACGGAACGGAGTATGGGCACCACATTCCTCGGCAAGCTCTTCCAGAACCGCCTCATTAACTAGAAAATTGATCCCGCTTCAAAGGAGCTAAGTTGGTGCATGCCTCCAACTAGAGAAAACTTTTTTTTGCATGAACCTGGGTTGAATGTTCGAAAAAAAAATGCCGCGAAGGTAATAACGCCACCTGCCTTACCTGAATACGTTGCCTCTGTTGCTCCAGCAGATCAGCAAGCTTGTGGTTTGACTCATTTTCAACCTGCAGTCAAAAAGAAAAGCCAGAAATGAGAATGGTCCTATGGCACCGAGACAGCCTGCCAACTCAAATGATCAAATTAACCTGCCGACTGCTTAGGCGGCTCGGTGATGCCGTGAAACGACGAGGCAATGCTGGAAAGCTAAAATAGACCGTGAAAAAGGAATGAACTGCTAGACGAAACTCCAACTGGGTATGACAAGAGATCCTCGGTGTATCCCGCAGTAAGTAACAATTTCCGAATCCTATGAGCTTGTCCTACTTTCTAGATGGCAGACAAGCACTCGCATGAGATGGTTTGCATTCAGGAGTTGTTTCGAGTCGAGCTAACGAGTTATAAGATTTAGTTGTCGATGTACGCTTTCCTTAATCTCGGGCAAAGACAGCCCTCCAGTTAAGTGCTGCAATGGAACGGTCTTCCCAAACGTTTGAACCAAGAACTGAATGGATCAAGACGTACAAAGGGCTTCACAGTAAAACCAGCCAAACATTTTCATTTCACCATCAGAAAAGCACTCGGCTCCAGTTAACGGGGCAACAGCAATACGACGGAAACAGGCTGGGGTACCCAAATATCGCTTGGCACACCAGACAAATCACATCACAGTGGACTGCAATACACAAACGAGACATGGCCTACCGTGACACCCTCTGACCCTTGCCCTTCGCCCGCTCCCTTCCCCAGAATCCGACCGCAAGCCGTCCGGACAAATGGCAAGCAGCTGTGACAGGAGAAAAAAAAATCCCAGGGCCCACAAACGCGTGCGTGTGGAGCCAGATAAGAGAGCCAGCCGCTTGATACTGGGGGGATTGGGAGAGAAAGTGGTCCCGATAACGGTCCGAGGAGAGGCTGTTTCCCGACCAGAGTGCTCAGCAAACACGAATGCGCGCACTCCTTTTGGCGCGGCACACCTGCCACTCCCATCGCTGATCGGCCGGCTACGGTCTCCCCCCCTTGCGCAAATGGGCGCAACAGGTGCCGCCACTTTGTGGGGCACCGCGGCTCTATGTTTACTCGCCATCGACGTCGGATCGACGCTAGTCTGTTATACCGTTCCTCCGACGATGGCGTTTATTCGCGAACCGACGAAACCTAAATGCAAAACGACGGGACGTCGGAACGATGAAAATTTGAGAGAGACCTTGAGAGAATCTGCAATCTTTTAGGACAAGATTTGCTGCTACAATCACTGATAGGCTGAGGGTGACCGAGAGTCTCCTTTGGATGCCTCGCCTCCGACGTGCACCTGTTGCCTTCCACTGTGCTTCGGCCGAGTGTGCATGTTCAATGCTCGCGGGTCGCTGAAGTAATATAGAAGGCAGAAAGCTTGCACTGGAGGTTGAACAACTAAAAATTCGCTCCACCATTCTAATCCCCTAGGTCTAACAGGAACTACACACCTCCCAATGGTAGCACCACTGTCGGAACATCACCATGCCGCCCGCAATTCTGTCCCAAAAACATTGTCGTCGTCGGTGACCCCTTAAAGAATATTGGTCCTGTGAACCTTTAGACAGCAAAGAAGTTTGCTTGCCTTCAAACGTGCAAACTTCAGTCTTCACTCTGGAGGAGCATTTGGGACAGTGAAATAAGGTGGCTAGACCGGGGCCAACAAAGGTGCTGGGTCCGTGGCACGGGGAATGTAGCATACCGAAACAAAGCCTACCATCTCTAGACACAACAGCCTTAAACGAAACTGTACAATCCACTAAATGGCGTGAAGCTTGGAGAAATTACCAGAAACAAAGCAAACGCAAAAAGGGCTTCGTCGTCGGTCGCTTTGCGCCGACGTGCGGACCCCCCATCTCCCTCCCCGGCAGAGACATCAAACGACAAAGCGCGACAAACGAAGGCATCATAACGTGACAATGGGAGGCCCCTTTAAAAGCGGCCTGAAACAAAGGAACGTACCCCGGCGGCAGCAGGGGAGAGGGAGGGGACCCCAGGGGAGGGGCACATCTGCCCAATCATGCAGGTCACCATGAAGCCCCGTTCCGCCCGACCGCACAGCACAACAGGGTGACTCCCTCTGCTGCTGCGACCGCAGCAGCAGTCGAGAGAGGGGGAAAGGCACACCTGCAGCGCCCTCCACCTCTCCCACCTGCCACAGTTGCCAGACCGCACTCTCTTTTTCGCTCCGACAAGGCTAGAAAAGCTGCCGAAACCCCGGCGTCTCGGCGGGGGAACGGAGATGCGTGATGAATGGGGAAACCTCCTGAATGAAGGGACCGAAGAGGCCGCGCGAGTAACGCGGAAATGCCACCTGCCAACTGCGAGAAGAAAGTCGAAGTGCAAGGTGGGATAATGGCAAGTGCGCAGGTCGGGGACGGCTTTCCACGCGTGACCCAAAGTGCAAACCTAGGAGAGCTTCTACCGACGACACTGGCGTGCGAACAAACAGGCTCGCGGATGAGTTGTGGTCGGAACGAAAAGACTCGCACCTTTGGCAGAAATGCGCAGGAAGCGGCGGGGGAAACAGGTTCCCTCCGTCTGCAAACTTGGGGACGGGGCGAAAGGTGTCCTGAAGGCGACGCGTGGAATCGCAAGCGCGGTTTTTAGAGGCGCCAAAGGTCGCCCGACGCTTCGCTCGGCTGGAGGCGGCCACGGCCCTACTGTGCTTTCGAGGCTCGGGCCGAGGTCGGCTGGAGGACACAGCAGGGGGGGCGGAGCTTAGCCGCTGCAATGGATGGGAAAAATCGCTAGAGCTCTCGCCTTTTCCCCTTTTCTCTCCTCTCTCCGAGGCCGGCGGTGCACGCTCGGGGAAGACCACCTGCAATCACTGCGGTGCACAGGCACTAGCTATCGCCGCAGTCGCCGTCTGCCTTTACAAATAAAGTGGAGACAAGTAAAAAAAAAAAAAAGGCAACGATAAAACACAGAGTTAAACTGTTTCCAGGAAACGAGCAACTGTGGCCCCAGCTCAGCTCCAAGCTGTGGCACGTCGCAGCCAGCAGCGACAGGCAGGAAGTGCTTCGACATCAGGCATAAAAAAATGAAACCACAAGCGCAAAAAAAAAAAGAAAAGAAAAACCTGCCACGTGGAAGAACGGAGAAGCAGTAATCCCTCGTTCGTCTTCGCAAAATCTGCCTGGGCAGACAAAAATTCCACGGGCCCACCTTATTTTTCTGCCAGGTATAGAGAAATGAAATGAAAAATGCGCAGGGAAGTTCCAAAGATCGCAGTGGCGGCGATACAGTGCAGAGTCCAACTTGATGCGACCCCTCCTCCTTGCTTCCTGCCTTTCGCCTCTTTCTTCCTTCCTTCTCGGCCGTTCTTGCCTTCTGTCCTATGAGGCCACCTCAAGCCAATCCCTTTACAATGCTTCCCTGGGAAGAGGCCGTAAACTTTTACAGCGGGGGTCTTCGTGGATAAGAATGTCCAAGAATCCAGACACCTCGACAGAAAAAAGAAAAAAAAGAAAAAAAATACCGGGAAGGAAATACCGCCTACGCGCGAACGAGGCAGGTGGCGACGAGGACAAACGGCGGGACGACGACGACTTCGGACTGCCGGCGGCTTCGCGGGCACCCGGTGTAAATTTTACGATCGCCTGATAAGACCCGCGCGACCGCGTTCCCAAGAAGCGAACTTCGACCCCCTAACCAAACGCGATCTCGAGCCAACCTACTCTTCCCCACGTGCGCCGGAGTTCGAACCCCCTCCACCCCCGCGCAAGTTCGGGGTTTGGACCCCGACATATTGCGGCGTCCTCACACATTCAAAGAAGGGAACGCTAGGTCCATACATCCTCCAAACCGCTGCCAACTGTAGCTCTTTTTTTTTTTTAATTTTTGTTCGTTTTATGCGTCGGGGAGTGGGTGACCACTCCCCGACGGCGCGCGCGCCCCCGCTCAAATAAACATTAAAAACAAAAATCGGAGATCGCGGACAGAAGTTTCCCGTACCTGCGGCGGCAACGTCTCGACGACCTCTCCGTTCCAGTCCCCTGCCGCGGCCAAGTCGTCGTCGTCGTCGTCGCTGCGGCCATCCTCTCGGCGTCCCGTCTTCCGGTGTCCTCCGAGCGCGGCGGCGGCGGCGGCGGTTGGGCGGTGTCCCGCATCGCGGTGTTCCCAGGTCGCCTCGGCCCGGACTAGTCCCTCGGGCGGCCGCGCGCAGACTGGCTCGTACTGCCGAGCAACAACCACAGCAATCGAGAGGCGCTGACGAGGGGGTGGGGAGACCGACACCGCCGCGCCGAGTCGCGCTCCGCCCACACGACGCCTCGTAGCGCCCACTAACGCTACCGGGCCCGACGTAGCGCGCCGTTTCCGGCTGGAACGCTTGCGTACACACGTGCCGCCACCGGCGAACGCTCGCTCGCTGCGTCGGAGGAGCAAAGACGAACGCGCCCCCCCTCTACCTCTCCCCCACAAAGTTTTTGGGCATGTTCGCTGTTCGTTGTTTGCTGCCGCGGTAACACCTCTCCGTTCACCCTTGAGCTGACAGTGCGGTGGAGGCTATGCGTTCGCCGGACCAATCAGCCGCCTCCCTTTCGTAACG